AGTGTGAAAAATTTGAAAATAAAATGTATGACATTCATTAGTAAATGCAATACTTTCCTGATCATTTTGGAGAAACAGCCAAAAAAAAATAGCAAAAGAGAATTTTCAGAATGTAATAGTACAGCTGTATTAGAATTTTCTATCAGAAAGACGCCAATGTTAATAAAGCCCGCGCTTGTGCGCCATCTAGCGAATATATCCGGTATTGCACCTAAAAATGTGCCAGACGGGATACCACATTCACTAATGGCAAAGTAGTCAGTAGACGCTCGTTAATTAGCTTGCTAGACGCTGGTCAGACCACTGATCGATTGACCGGAGTCTGCCTGAATGGTCAGTCTCTGCTAATACACTCACATCTCAGTGAATCAAGGCCATGTTGTCCATGATCTACAAAATTCTTCAATCCAACACCAACCAATACAATTTAAGTTTCCTGAAGGCATGGAATAAAGACTTGGGCCATGAACATGAGTCAGCTGAGTGGGATACTTTTACCCACAAATCCAGCATTTTCTGTTATACTCAAGAAAAGAACTACAAGCTCCTCACTAGATGGTACAGGGATCCAGTCTCTCTCAATCGATTTCTCCCACAGGTCACAGAGACTTGCTGGAGGTGTAGCCAAGCTAAAGTCACTTATTTATACATCTGGTGGGATTGTAGCAAGATTCAGCCTTTTTGGCGGATGATCTTTGACATCTACAATGACATCTGTGGTAAGTCACTTTCTTCTTCCCCTGAAATAGCTCTCCTATCTATCTATCTATCTATCTATCTATCTATCTATTTATCTATCTATCTATCTGTCTATCTAAAGTTTTGTCTTTGTTTTTTTTATCGGCAGGCAGGAAATGAATACCTTCTTTATGGATGTCTTCTCGTACACATCCCTCCTCAATTGGGTACATGTGATGAATGACGTTAATGATATAGGGGATCTATTTCACTCTGTTACACCTGTGCTGTCTGAGAAAACACTATACATACTTTGCCCAAAGCTTCCAGCTTTGAACATTGTCTTAAAGTGACAAGCCTGAACTTTAGGATGTGGTGGTTCACAGAGGTCCATGAGATTTGGTCGCAAAGGTCTGGCTATTGGCCCCTGGAGCAGCTGTGACTGTCCACGGGGACAGAAAAGAGGGAGGAGCCCTTATAGTGCAGTTAGTTGACTCAAAATATGGTGATTAGCTCAGGAGGTTTAATGATAGGAAAAAAAAAAAAGGAAAATAATTAACATCTGTTGAAGCTGCAGTCACCCTATGGAGTAGAGACATGCAGTATTTTGTAAGTGCAGGTAGAGGAAACTCAGTCCCCACACAGGAAAAAAAAGGTCAGTATTGATTCCACAGGAATCCTAATCCTGGATCTTCTGTGGGATTTTCAAGTGGGTGTTTAACTTGGTGAGTGAGAAAATGTATAAATAATGGCCCACAGGTGGTCAGATTGGACACTAAGGATGCAGAGTCCTCATCTACATATTGTTTTCCGAGGCCCCATTCACACCTGAGGATTTTTGTACTCAAAGTTTGAAACTCCAAAACGCTCAACATACATAATCCCATTTTTTTTATTCGTACCTTACTTAAGCATAGTGTTGTGTAAAGCTTAGAGCTTGAAATAGTACATTAGCTTCTTTTGAGCTAAATACACCAAGCTTCAAGTGGTTTTTGGCCCCAAAAGACTTCAATGGGAGTGCCTGAAAAAATGAGCAAAAACGTCCTTACAGCACATTTTATTGCTTAGTAACTAACATTCTGTGGGTAAAAAAATAAAAAAAGCACTTAAGCCTCAGACACCTGCAAACATGAGCAAAAATGCCTGTTTAAAAGCTATAAAAAAGCCTGCAAAATGACCTATGGACACTCAGCTCAGATGTGGATGTAGCCAGAATTTATAGCAGAAAGCAGTAGCAAGAAACAGCAATGCAGCCAAAAAGCAAAGTTAGAACCTTGTCTAATGTTGCCATTTACAGCAAAATTCTAACCCTGTTTCATGGTAGTGTTGTCCTTGTCTGGGAACAAATTTGGCAAAAACACGACAGAATCCCTTGTAAGGGTAATAAAAAGAAATCATGCCCAACCAAAACCCATTTTAAAGCTCATCTCCACCTCCAGCTTGGTTGAAACAAACTATTTAAAGTGGAGATCAGCTTTAAGCACTGTTGTTTAGTCTTTAGTAAATCAGTAGAAAATATGTATTAATGACAACTGTGTGCAAACTGAAAACAATTGTTTTTTTTGTTAAAGAATATGGAGGCAATGAGAAAAATTACCTGTACTGAAAATCTGCTGAACTCTACATAAATATTATACAATTTAAAAAAAAATTACAAAAAAATAATGTTCTTTAGCAAGGAACATATATTCCACATTAATAAATATGCTATCAAAATTAGTATGTGCTGTAAAATTGCCTCCATGATTGCGCCTGTTTCTTCTTGCTGGAGGTGGCCATTTTACTGAAGCCCAGAGCCTCTGAGCAGCAGTAAATCTTTAGGCTGTCAGCAGATCCACCTCTAGTGGCTCTGATTTTCCACACAGTGCCATAAAATAGAGATTTTAAACAGTATAGACACTTATTTGTAATGTGTTATATAGCTATACCTCTAAAAGAGGCCAGCCTGAAGTGATCTAGCAGGTGCCACTAAACCCACATCATACAAACTATCAGTAAATGCTGTGTTTCCTGCTGTTCATACTCAATCACTGACATTCATTTTCTGTATTCTGCAAAACACCTGGTTGATCCTGCTGTTCTCTATCTTCTCATTCTGTCCAAGTTCCCAATGCAGCTGGGGGATTTTGCAGAACAATGTTGGCAACTCCGCACATGCTCTGTTTTCAGTGAGTTTCTATGCAGAGCATTTCCTCCCAATTACCTCTGAGCCCTTGTTTCTATAGATTCATACATGTGGGCATATACACAGTAGTTAATGACTTCCCACTCCCTCCCTCTTCCTCCATGCCCAATAACCAGCTAAGCACAGTGGGTATGGGATATTATATGTAGATTGATGGAGGCGTCACCTCTCTGTTAGACTGGAGGAGCATGATACAACCTGTGACTGGAAGAAATCCACCCACACCATGTTATTGCCAAAAATAATAAACATTTCTTTCAAATATATTTATATGACAATTTAAAACAGTTTATTGATTTAGTAATTATTTATTTTTACTCAATATTCCAAAGTTTGTTTTTATTTTTTATTTTGAACATCTGACCAGCAGCAGAGGACTAGAAGCTCCTCCTGCCACTGTTTTCCTGCAGACAGACTGGGATGGGAATGAATCACGTGACAGCTGTATATCGATTAGGAAAAAGGTACTTAGATTTTTTTTTTTATTAAAATAATTGCAGAGGCATCATCCATATACAGAAGTAGAAGGGACAATGTAAATGAAACAGTGTGTGTTTAGTATTACAGTGCTTTACTTTTCTGACTAAAGTTCCACTTTAATATATCCTATCTATATACCGTATCTACAATAGTATATGCTACAATAATATAAAATTACATTTCTGAAAACTAAATCAATGTACATGTCTGTTTGCACCCACAAACTTGACTCACAATTTAGAGCATCTACACCAGAGCTATAATTGGTCCACTAAGAATATCTTTTCATTTAGGCAACAGCACTGCTTAATTCATAATTATTGCACATTAGGAAATGCAGACATGTCATAATTACTATATTAGATTGGTTATTTATACTTCCTGTCAACAAAATACATGTCTTCTTTCATAATAACATTAAAAAATGGCCAACCATTAATTCAGCTTTCCAGCAGTTTGAAGGCATGGCATTAAAAGAGAATGAGATGAAATGGTCATGCAAACTAATACTTTTGTAGCCCTTGAGAGTTGCTGATCCAGCTTACTAAGTACCTGACATCACTTCTTCAGGAGAATAAAGGAATAACAGGAGTATAAAGGAATAACAGGAGCAGTGAGAATATAACAGCCATACGAAAGTATTTTAGTGTACCCATAATTGAAATGACATAGCCCCACTTCGACCCTTTCTGTATGGTTCATTTGATTTTGGTGCAGGTTTTTCGGCACTTATAATTTTGTGCATTAGGCATTTAGATGGGGAAAAAAAATGTATTGTGTGACAGTAATATTACTGCCTCCATTTTTATAATATTTTTCACTTTGATAATATATAATATTTAACCTCTTGCCCTCCAGAGAATTTACCCCCTTCCTGACCAGGTCATTTTTTGCGGTACGGTGCTGAGTTATTTTAGCTGACAATTGCGCGGCCATGCAACGCTGCACCTAAATGAAATTTATGTCCTTTTTTTCCCACAAATAGAGCTTTCTTTTGGTGGTATTTGATTGCCTCTGTGGTTTTTTATTTTTTGCGCTATAAACAAAAAAGGTCTACAATTTTTAAAAAATATATATTTTTGACTTTTTGCTATTAAACATGTCCAGTAAAAATATTTAAAAAATCAAATTTCATCATAAATCTAGACCAAAATGTATTCTGCTACATGTCTTTGTTAAAAACAAAATCCCAATATATGTAAATTAATTGGTTTATGTGAAAGTTATAGCGTCTACAAATGGTGGTATATATACTGGAATTTTCTTTTTTTTTTACTAGTAATGTCAGCGATCAGCGACTAATAGCGGGACTGTGGGACTGCGGCGGGCATTCTGACACTGACTTGGTGTTACTGACATCCCTAGTGACACCAATAAAGTGATCAGTGCTAATAAAAAGCACTGACACCATACTAATGGCACTGGGCATGAAGGGGTTAACATGTGCGTTGATCAAAGGGTTAACTGTGTGCTGCTTTACTGTGTGCTGTGTGTGTGCTTTAAACTGTAAGTGCACTGCTTTGTATGGCTCTCTGCTATGCAAAATCACGTGTATATATATAAAAAAAAGATATATATACGTGATTTTGCGCACCCGTGCCACCCTGTAGCAGTATTTCTGCTATAGGGTAGAGCAGAAGCGGTTAATACCATAAGAGGTATGTGCTAAGCGTCAGAGTGTAGGTTCAGATTAAATTTAGGAGCTGAATTGCTAAGCAACAGATTCAAGTTAAAGTGTATTTTTAAATTGGTTGTAAAGGCTCAGGTTTTTTTTTTACCTTCATGCATGCAAATTGTCCACTCACAAAATTAAAATAGGAAAAGCATGTACTCAACACTCCCAGCATCGGCACCTCTCTGTCAAGCCTTGACAAAGAAGGAGGGCCTTAGAAATGCACAGCCCTGCCCACTACTCCACCCATATGTGACATCATGCAGGAGCTTGCCTTCAACAAATTGGGCCTTTGTACAGAGCTCTGGTCTGTCCTTCAGCTGCAGCTATTCCTCCATCTGACAGCACTGCTATTAAGGACCAGAAGTGTGAATACAGAGAGGCACCCATGCTGGGAGTGTGGAGTACATGCTTTTTCTATTTTAATTTTCTGAGTGGCCAATTTGCACTTGATTTTACTGTTAAAGCGTTTAACTTTGCTACACTTAATGTGCGCTCTTTTCACTTGTTTGTACATATGTCATTTGTACATTTCCCCAGAAGCAGCAGTAAAGGCAGCAAGAGGTGTTTAATTACTCTTGCTTTCAATGCCTGGACTAATGATTTGTGGTTTTATCAACTTATGGACATGAACTGTTTTCTTTTTTCTGATGGACTTGATTTTTGTTTACATTCAACAATTTCTTTCATTTACATTACTGTAGTTACAGGTATTTTCAGTGCGCTAAAAAAGTTGTTGGTTTTATTTTCTTAGAAAAAAGAACACCAATTAGTTCTTATGGTTTTCTGAACTGTGCACTTCAATTTTGCCCTTTGCACTGCCTTGTAGAATGAGCACGTAAGTGTCACTACTAAGAACTTCTCTTATACTAACAGCCATTGGATCACAACTGCCCATTTTCAGATCTTGTTTAAATCCATAATTTGCTAGTAGAAATGAAAACAGTCCTCAGTATAGACACTGTGATTAGTAAGGTTCATTTGAGGCTATTCCTCTCCTTTAACACATAGCTGAGCTGCGCTGATCCCGCAGAAAAAAAGTTCTTATATAATAGAAGATAAGTAATTCAGAATATTATTGATCAGAGGTGAGAACAAATACGACATTTTTCTAAGAGTTCCAGGCCTGGATTGCATTTAGATTCTCTCCCATTGCCAGGAATTTATGCATAATCCTTGGTTGTATTTAGGGATACCAGAATCTCCCCATTTTCAGATAATTTTCTGCTTTTTAATTAGAATAGAAGATGTCTTTCTAATGTCAGCAAAGCAAAATCTGCAGTTTTCTGTGAAAACCGACTGACTTCTGTGGCTTGCCGCAATATCTTTACAGGTAGTTTTCTTAAATGTATCAAAAGTTTCTGGTTTGGAGCCAACTTTATCAGGAAGGTATTCAAAGGATGTTAAATTTGTAACAGAAAAGATGAACAATTTGCATACGTGAAGAATCATAGAAGACAGTATGCAGCTGTAACTAATTAACCTCTCTCAAGAGACTGGAAAACACAGAGTAACTGAAGAAGAATAAAATACATCTAAACCAGCTTGAGAGCAGGGATGAGGTTCAAATTCACTCTGATGCAGGGGTTTCAGCTAAATATATCTGTTTGAAGTTTGCCGAGCAAACTGAACTGAACTAAATGCCCATATTTCTCCCAAGCGAACATCTGGCTGTTACTTGAAAGTCATTCACTTAGTGGCAGTAGTGACAACTTCCCACAAAGTTAAAGCGGAGCTCCACCCAAAAGGGGAAGTTCCTCTTTAAGGACTGCTCCCCTGCTCCCCATTAAGGATTATAAAAGAAAAGTAGGTGCAGCGCTAAAAACAAAATATAAATATTACTCTATAGGATGAATATATAAATATCAGTGGTCAAAACAGATATACCACAAAGGTGAATAGTGCATAGAGTCTATAAAGAGTGCTGAGAGCACACAAAAAGTTCTCGTCCCAGGGTGATGGTAGTAAAAGGTAAAGGAAATCCTGGAAAAAACAGATAGAGTGCGCACTCACCAGAAGTGTGTTAAAATAACGCATGTAAGGAAGTAACTGCTGCAAGATCTCTCCAGCATCAGGGCTCTGGTCAGGTCGCACTGCGTCCTATCCTCTATCTCACCGCAAGGAGAGGTGGCCAAGTAGCATCCGAACGTGTGAGCGTCAGGGAACTCCTTGGTCCAAAGAAGTACTGTGGGAGATGGTGCTCTCAGAGAGAGCCCAATGAAGGACGCCACATAGTGTAATACTGTTATGACTTGCGTTTATTAGTCAAAAAGGGGTAAACAAAAAAAAGAGTACTGACCATAGATAGTTGGCCACAAACAGTGGCTAGATGTCCATAAGCTGTAGCCCCCTTGACGCGTTTCGTGCGAAGCACGTCCTCAGAGGGTCAGGGCTTACAGCAGGACATCATTACTCATCTATTTATATGGAGAAATGGCAATCGCGCTAGTCGCGGCGGCCATTTTTGCCGGCGTCTCGCGCATGCGCAGTTGATCAGCGCCATTTTGCCGAAGATCGTTACAAGGGAATACACAGGAATGAACTAATCCTCCTAGTGACCTGATGTATATGGTGTATACTAGGAGGATTAGTTCATTCCTGTGTATTCCCTTGTAACGATCTTCGGCAAAATGGCGCCGATCAACTGCGCATGCGCGAGACGCCGGCAAAATGGCCGCCGCGACTGGCGCGATTGCCATTTCTCCATATAAATAGATGAGTAATGATGTCCTGCTGTAAGCCCTGACCCTCTGAGGACGTGCATCGCACGAAACGCGTCAGGGGGGGCTACAGCTTATGGACATCTAGCCACTGTTTGTGGCCAACTATCTATGGTCAGTACTCTTTTTTTGTTTACCCCCTTTTTGACTAATAAACGCAAGTCATAACAGTATTACACTATGTGGCGTCCTTCATTGGGCTCTCTCTGAGAGCACCATCTCCCACAGTACTTCTTTGGACCAAGGAGTTCCCTGACGCTCACACGTTCGGATGCTACTTGGCCACCTCTCCTTGCGGTGAGATAGAGGATAGGACGCAGTGCGACCTGACCAGAGCCCTGATGCTGGAGAGATCTTGCAGCAGTTACTTCCTTACATGCGTTATTTTAACGCACTTCTGGTGAGTGCGCACTCTATCTGTTTTCCAGGATTTCCTTTACCTTTTACTACCATCACCCTGGGACGAGAACTTTTTTGTGTGCTCTCAGCACTCTTTATAGACTCTATGCACTATTCACCTTTGTGGTATATCTGTTTTGACCACTGATATTTATATATTCATCCTATAGAGTAATATTTATATTTTGTTTTTAGCGCTGCACCTACTTTTCTTTTATTATTGACTATTGCAAGGAGGATTGGTTGCCTTTTTTGGTGTTCTAGCTGCTTGTGCTCTTGTGCCTGTAGCGCTCGCTATACTTTTTTCACACCCCCATTAAGGATTGGCACCTTTGGGTGAATTTGACAGGTACCCCGCTCCCACTTCTGGTCCGAACGCCTAGGCGATTGGCAGCGGAAGGTGTCTTCCCTCCCTGTAGTCTTTTGGGACACGTGACAGGTCCCAGAAGACTACAGGGCCATTCACGAAGCGCAGCGATACTCGTGCATGAGCAGTGGGTTCCCGGCTGTGAAGCCAAAAGCTATCACAGTCGGGTGCGCACACTGAAGATGCTGGCCTCCTGGAATACAGGACGGCTGGTGAAACGAGCTGCGGGGGGGGACACCACGGGACCGACTTTTTTAAAGTCAGCAGCTACAGTTTTTGTAGCTGCTGACTTTTATTTTTTGATAGGTCGAGTAGAACTCCGCATTAAGGGAATCTAGATAAAGGTCTGGGATGGATGTTGAGGAAAATCCCAGCCACTTAGTTTACAAACAGAACAATGCCTCTGCAAAATGTCATTTATTGGCAATTTAAATGGTCCTTTTTTTCGGTCACTTTTGCTTTAGTACAATGTACAGGTGCACCACATCAAGTGCAGATATTAGGCATCCCTTCAAGAATGTTATATAAAGGAATTGTGCATTTTTTAAATTGCTCTTTAAACCCTATTAAAAGAGCTACGTCCTGCTGAACATCATTTTTTTTCCATTGGTACTTGCCTCACAGGACAGTGTTGATTCCTACATGCCCTTTGTTTAACAATCCCTAATCTATTAAACTTGAAAATTACTTTATTTACAAAGCAAATGAAACCGACTGGGAAATGTCATTTAACAGCAAATGGTATTTTTTTTTCTTTCTAAATGGTACCTTTACTTTAATATATGTTATAAATGCGGAACTTCACAGGCAAGTTTAGGATATCCCTCAAGCAAGTTATTTAAAGGACTTGTGTATTTTTAACCTCTTGCTGACCACATGATGCATATGTGCAGCAGGAGGGTGGGCCACGCACCACACATATTTGTCCATGGCAGCTAAGTTCTCTGCTGAAACTGCACTCCCAACACAATCACCGAGCTGTTCCAGAGGACCCCTGGTCTGTCTTGATGATCAGGAGCCAGTCAGATGTCCTTCCAAATCATATGATCACTGTGATAGCTTTCAAAAATGTATATTTTAATTGTTTATTTTTAGCAATTTACAAAATGCAAACAGATGAAAAATCTATATCGAATCAATATTTAGTTTATTTAGTATGGCTTCAAACCAGCATCAATTCTTCTAGGTACACTTGCACACAGTTTTTGAAGGAACTTGATAGGTAGGTTGTTCCAGACATCTTGGAGAACTATCCACAGATGTTTTGTGGATGTAGGCTGCCTCAAATCCTTCTGTCTCTTCTTGGAATCGCAGACAGACAGAGAAAAACAATCAGATATTTATCCATCATGCCATCATGATAAGTTCTCTAGGATGTTTGAAGCATCTTGACAAACATCATGCCAAGTTCCTTCAAAAACTGTGTGCAAGTGTACCTAGAAGTACTGATGAATTGATGCTGTTTTGAAGGCAAAGG